AATATATTTTTGCAAAATAAATAATTAAAATGGAAATATTTTCCTAGATATCATTTATCATAGATATTTCTACTTAGTCATAATAATTATCAAACAATATTATTCAATTGTCTTAATGTGCCAAAGACTAAATTGGTCATTACCTTCAAAGTTCCTCCAGCACCAAGTTAAGCAATATGCTTGTAAGTAAATCACAAGGCATCAACTTTCTGTGTAGTCATTTTCAAATATTTATATAAAACTGGAATAAGTTTGTTGAAATATATACTCTATTAGCATATTTTAAATAACTTGATGAATCTGCATTTTAAATTGTGAAAATATATTAATAAGGAAGACAATTGATATTAGCTGGGAATCCCATTAGTAAGGATTGATTTCTATTTGGTTACACCCTTACCAACTATTGCCAAGTGACATCAATAGAAAGAACAAGGCTCAGAATGAATAAATATTAAAGGTAAACATTAGAGGGAGTGAGCAGTTCAAACCCCCCAGCTGCTCTAGGAAACCTTATACAATGTATTTATGAGTTGAAACCAACTTAATGGCACACAACAACAAGAGAAGGGATTGGTTACAGATGAGGAGGTAACACCAAAGACAGAATGAGAGGGAGAAAAGGGAAAAACTGGAAAAGGCAAAAGATAATAGGTAATTCAAGAAAAACCAAATACAGTGAACAAAAAAAGCTTAGCATAATTTTGAATCAGAAGGGTAATCTAGCATTCAGACAAGTGCACAGCATATTGTTGTTCAAAAGCTTCATAGCAACCTATATAAGTGTTCTGGTATACTCATTTTCCACAACGCTGTCCATGGTTTGTTATGATCTTCACTCATTAAATCTGAAAACAAAAACTAAAACCACTGCCATCAAATCTATTCAGATTCATAGCAACCCTATGGTGATGGCGGTGGCTATGTACCATTGGGCCGGTTCTGACTCACAGCAACTCTGTATAGGATTTCTGAGGCTGTAAGTCTCAGGTACAGAAAGCCTCATCTTTCTTCCAAGGAGCAGTTGGTGGATTTGAACTGATCACCTGTGGTTAGCTGCCCAATACATAACCCACTACACCAACAGGGCCCCGTTGTGACCTTATGTTGCTATTATTGCTAAGTGGTGAAGAATTGGTTCTGAGTCATAGTGGTCCTGTATAGAGTATCTGAGGCTGTACATCTTACAGAAACCGAAAGCCTCATCTTTCTTCTGTGAAGTGGCTGGTGGCCTTGAACCACTGACCTTATGGCTTGCTGTTCAGTGCTTATCATTTGAAGCCACCATGCACCCCTAGAGGACAGAGTAAAACTACCCCCATAGGATTTCCCAAGTTGTAGACCTTTGCGGAAGCAGACTGACATATTTTTTTCCCAGTGAGCAGCTAATAGGACTGAACTGTGGACCTTGGAGTAAATTCAAAAGAAGGAACCAATCAAAAGAGTGGCTTCTTGTGGGATCTGCTAAATTCAAGGCCCCGAGATTAGCTCAAAAGAATATGATGACTGATTTCTGGGATTTCCAAGCGGATAATCTTGATAAGAATCTCTGTTGATAAGAAACAACAGAGAAAAGATTGAAGTTGTCAAGGACTTCATTCTTCTTGGATCAACTATCAACACTCACGGGAGCAGCAGTCAAGAAATCAAACAACATATTGCATTAGTCAAATCTTCTGCACAAGACCTTTTTAAAGTGTTAATGAGCAAAAGTATCAGCTTTAGGACTAAGGTGTGCCTGACCCAAACTATGGTATTTTCAATAACTTCATATGCATGCAAAAGCTGGACAGT